CCACTCCCAGAAGTATTGCTAGGGTCAGGGACACAGGCTCTCTTTTGTACCTGCTTGGTTGTTGTTTTTGTTCAAAGAACTGTTCTACAGAATCTGTGGGGTGATAGAATACTCAGGGCAGGAGCTTAATCATGACACAGTAATCTTGAGAGGTATTAAGGACCATACTAGCTACACAGGGAGTCAACCCAGAGTTACATGCCCACCAAGCCCCTTGTGGAGGTAGGAGATAGTAATTCCCTTCCCCTGGGGGTACAGAAACAGTGGAGTTGCAAAGGTGGGCATGAGTTGGAGGTGGGTTTCCTAGGCAGAACCCAGATCCCAAGACTTCCATGAGGGTTAGGGGGTGGGGGGTCTCTCTATGACATTGGTTGGCTGAGGTGGTATTATTAAATGTCCCTTGTGTAGCTATGCCTTCGTAATAAGGGGGTGCTGCTGCTAAACATAACCAACAAGATTCAGTCAGGTTGGGGTCTGTCTGTCTAATAGCCTTATACGCTCCTTGAATTAAACTGAACAGTCCATTTCCCGTGGGCAAAACTCTTTGACTCGTGGGGCTGGAAGTCTGTTTTGACAGGATATGGGCAGGGGAAGTGCCAGAAAAAGGGTTAGGGAGGTGCTGTGAGGTGTGATGCAGTGAAGTGAGGTGCTGTGAGGTGACTGAGGCTGGCAGAGGATTTGGGTAGCTGGAAATGGGATTTTGGATAGGTAAGATGGGGTTGGGGCCTATAGCTACTGGGTGGGAGGAGATGTCTCTCTTAATAGGATCTGTCCCATCCTTGTATATTCTAATTCCCCAGGAATGTCCCTTGTCCCAATCTGTAACCTTCCTTCCTGCTGCTGTGAATTCTACCCGGAGGGGTGGCACCATTTACCTTGACAGTCCTGATTAGGAACATTTGGGATCTTGTGGGAATAATTTGCTTTTACAGTGATGTAATCCCAGGATGAGGATGGGGACCACCCGGTGTCCCCAGTTGTTTCACATCCCCAGTTTTTACAATAAAAGTAGTCTCTTCCTCCACATTGGGAATCGAGCCACTTATCTCGATGGTTACCTGGGCAAACAGAGAAGGTTAACAGGCGCAACTTGGTTTGTTGTTTTTCACGACACCCTCCCTATGCTAAGTGGGGCCCTCTGAACACTTGTTGGTACCCCAGACTGGGGGAAGCTTCTGGGCCCGGTATTTTATCAGGATCTGTGAAGTCTGGTATGTCCCAGGGCGCTGGTGTTCCTAAAGCTAATTTACGTAAGTCTGGATACAGTATAGGCCACCAGGTACCCTTAGGTGCCATCTTATGGGTTTCAAACACTACAGTACCCATTTGATTAATTACCTGCCAGGTAGTCAGCATGGGGAGATGGGGACTTCCTTGACTGGGGACAAGCCTAAAAACAAGTAGAATCATTAGGTATCTCTGGAGAGTCTTATTTTTAGAGGATTGGATGTCTTGTGGAGATGCCATTTTCCTGTGTCGTTCTGGGCCAGAGCTTTCTTGGCATGGGAAGCATGGATCCAGGCCGAAATCCCGTCTACTTTGAGGGCCGTGGGCATAGTCAGGAGAACCGTGTAGGGTCCTTTCCACCGTGGTTCAAGAGTCTTTACGTTGTGTCTTCTCACACACACCTGATCTCCAATCTGATAGGAGTGGGATGTTTGTGGACTCCCAGGCCAGTAGACAGCAGCCAAGGGCCTCCAAACCTGGTCCTGGATGATCTGGAGGGCTTGGAGTCTTGTTTTTAGGCTGGGACTATCAAAAGAAGAGGTCAAGGGGGACAAGGTTACATTGAGGACAGGAGGCAGTCCTCCAAAAAGGATTTCATAGGGGGTTAAGCCATGTATAGCAGGAGCATTTCCAGCCCGAAATAGAGCTAGAGGTAGGAGCTTCACCCAGTCTTTAGTGCCAGTCTCTAGAGCTAATTTAGTTAAGGTCTCTTTAATAGTTCTATTCATTCTTTCTACCTGTCCTGAACTTTGGTGTCTGTAAGCACAATGTAATTTCCAATTAATCCCCAATGCTTTGGCCACTCCCTGACTTACCTGGGAGACAAAGGCTGGGCCATTATCAGACCCAATTACCTTGGGCAGTCCAAATCGAGGGAAGATTTCTTCAATCAGCTTCTTTACCACAGTCTGAGCTGTTTCCTTTCTGGTGGGGAAAGCTTCAACCCACCCTGAAAAAGTGTCTATAAACACTAAAAGGTATTTATACCCATATTTTCCTGGGAGTACCTCAGTAAAATCTACTTCCCAGTTAGTCCCTGGTCGTGTTCCTCTTTCTCTCTTACCAGATGGGACCTTTGACCTGGTAGCATTCACCAGGGAACATGAGACACAATGTCCCACTACCTTTTGGACTAGTTGGTTGAGGCCTGGGAAATAATAAATTTGTTCTTCTCTTTCTAATAGTGTCTTTAGCTTCTTGTGTCCCAAGTGCGTCCACTGGTGAAGTTGGGAGATCAACTCAAGGGCCGCCTTTTGGGGCATTTTGATTCGATTCTGATATTCCCACATTTTAGATTCTGGGTCCAAAGTAGTGTTGAGCCTCCGAACGAGGTCCACGTCCTGCTCAGTGTAGGTGAAAAGAGCATCTCCCTCTTTTGTTGGTGCTTCTATTTCAGCCTCAAGGTCCGAATGGGTGTAAAGAATACAAGTATCTTCTGCTGCCTGAAGGGCAGTTTCATCTGCCATCCAATTGCCCCAAGCAATCGGCCCCTGGTCTCGCTGATGTCCAGGGCAATGGATAATGCTGACCTTTTTTGGCAAGTATAAGGCTTGCAGAAGGGCCACTACGGCTTCTTTGTTTTTAATGTCCTTACCAGCCAAGGTGAGGAGTCCTCACCTCTGGTAAACTTCCCCATGTATATGGGCTGTGGCAAATGCATAGTGGCTGTCAGTGTAAATGTTGACCTTTTTGCCCTCTGCTAATTTTAGGGCCTGAGTCAGGGCTTCTAATTCAGCCCGCTGGGCTGATGTTCCAGATGGTAGGGCTTGAGCCCAGATTATCTTTTCCCCATCAACCACCACCGCCCCCACCTTACGCTCACCGTCTCGTGAGGAGTCCTCACTTCTGGTAAATTTCCCAATGTATATGGGCTGTGGCAAACGCATAGCGGCTTTCAGAGTAAATGTTGACCTTTTTGCCCTCTGCTAATTTTAGGGCCTGAGTCAGGACTTCTAATTCAGCCCACTGGGCTGATGTTCCAGCTGGTAGGGCTTGGGCCCAGATTATCTTTTCCCCATCAACCACAGCCGCCCCCACCTTACGCTCACCGTCTCATAGAAAGCTGCTCCCATCCGTATACCAAGTGGCATCTGCATCTGTTAGGGGCTGGTCCATGAGGTCTGCCCTGGTCCCATGTGTCTCCGCAAGTATTTGCTGGCAGTCATGGGGAATACCAGTGCCTTTCTTGGGGGCTGGTAGCAGCGTGGCTGGGTTTAGGGTGGCAGGGCTACCAAACTTGATTTTTTCTGGATTTAATAGTAATGCCTGATAATGGGTCACCCTGGCATTTGACAGCCACCTGTCAGGAGGTTGTCTAATGATGGACTCCACTGCATGAGGTGTTATAACAGTTAGGGGCTGACCCATAGTGAGTTTGTCTGAGTCTTTAACCAGGGATGCTACTGTCGCCATGATTCTCAAGCATGGGGGCCAGCCAGTTGCCACATTGTCCAGTTTCTTTGAGAGATAAGCTACTGGCCTTTTCCAGGGTCCCAAAGTCTGAGTAAGGACCCCTTTTGTCATCCCTATTCCCATTATTTTCATCTATATATAGGATGAAAGGTTTTGTCAGATCTGGCAATCCTAACGTTGGAGCCGTCAGCAGCGCTCTTTTTATTTTGTTAAAAGCTTTCTGGTGTTCTTCAGTCCAGACAAAAGGGGTCCCGCTCTTTGTTAAAGGATATAGAGGAGCTGCTATTGCAGCGAAACCCGGTATCCATAATCTACAAAATCCTGTGCTTCCCAAGAACTCTCTCAGTCCTCTGGCTGAGGTTGGTGGGGGGATAGAGGCTACTGCCTGTTTCCTGCTTTCCGTCAGCCAATGTTGCCCTCCCTCCAACCTATAGCCCAAATAGTTCACCTGTTGCAGGCAATCTGGGCTTTCTTTGCCGAGGCCCGGTATCCAAGTTCCCCTAGTTTCAGTAGGAGAGCCTCCGTACCTTGCAGACAGCCAGCTTCTGTCTCAGCCGCTAAGAGGAGGTCATCCACATGTTGAAGAAGCATAATCTGTGGGTTCCTTACCTGAAAGTCAGCCAGATCACGGTGTAGAGCCTCATCAAACAAAGTAGGGGAGTTCTTGAATCCTTGGTCCAAAAGTCAGCCAAATCTCGATGTAGAGCTTCATTAAACAGAGTAGGGAAGTTTTTGAATCCTTGGGGAAGTCGCGTCCAGGTCAGTTGCCCCGATATTCCAGCTTTAGGGTCTTTTCATTTAAAAGCGAAGATGGGTTGGCTAACTGGACTCAGTCTTAGGCAGAAGAATGCACCCTTCAGGTCAAGTACAGTATACCACCTGTGACTGGGAGGCAAGGAACTCGGGAGATTGTAGGGATTTGGAACAGTGGGGTGGATATCTTCTATTCACCGATTGACTTCCCTTAGGTCTTGGACCGGTCGATAGTCATTCGTTCCTGGCTTTCTTACGGGGAGCAGTGGGGTGTTCCAACGTGACTGACAGGGGCAGAGTATGCCTATTTGTAAAAGTCTTTGAATATGGGGTCTAATTCCCTCTTGGGCCTCTCTGCTAATAGGGTATTGCTTGATTGAAACCGGGTTGCAGATGGTTTTAGAGTGACCACTATTGGAGGCTGGTTGGATGCCAGTCCCGGGCCTCCTGTCTTGGCCCATGCTGAGGGGAATTTAATTAGCCAATCAGATATACCAGGAGTCCCTGTTATTGGTTCTTCATATAACCGATGCTCATCTTCCAGTCGCAGGGTTAATACCTGTAGTGGAGCTCCATCTTTTCCTTCTAGAGTAGCTCCCTTTTTAGTGAAGTAGATGTGGGCTCCCAGCTTAGAGAGTAAATCTCTCCCAAGAAGGGGATAGGGGCAGTCAGGGACCAACAGGAACGAGTGGGAAGCCTATCCTGTACTGAGGTCCACTTTTCTTTCTGTGGTCCACCTGTATATCTTTCCTCCGGTGGCCCCTTGGACCGAGGGTGTTTTGGAACTCATAGGTCCCTTGGTTGTTGTCAAGACCGAGTGTTGAGCTCCCATATCTACCGTGAAGGTAGTCAATTGCCCCCCTATCTTTAAAGTTACCCTGGGCTGAGGCGGGAGCTCCTGGCCCCTACTCCCCTAGTCCTCTAGTGCCAGGATTGGGGTTGTCTTCTTTTGTCTTTTCAGCTTCTTTGGACACTCTCGAGCCCAATGTCCTCTCTCTTTGCAATAGGCACACTGGTCTTTATGCACTCGGGGTCTTCTTTTGTCTCCCAGGTCCCTACCTGGTCCTGTTCCCTGGACTACTGTGGCCAAAATTCGACTTAACTCTTTCTCTTCTTCTCTCTCTTATCTTCTCTGGCTTCCTGTTCTTTTCTAATTCTATCCTCTCTTTCTTCTAATGTCTCACGCTTATTATAAATTTTCTCAGCTTCTCTTACTATATCCTGTAAGGAGTACCCCTGAAGGCCTTCTAGCCATTGAGCCTTGCCACGAATGTCAGGAGCAGATTGCCCTATGAAGGCCATAATAAGGTCTGCCTGACGCTCCTGAGCTGTGGGATCAAAAGGGGTGTACATCCTATATCCCTCTATTAGGCGCTCTAGAAACCCTGCAGGGGTTTCATTTTCTCCCTGGGTTATAGCACGTACCTTTGCCAAATTGGTTGGGCACCTTCTGGCCCCTTTGAGACCCGCTATGAGTCTGGCGATAAAGACGGAGACGCTCCCACCGGCCACGGTCTCGTGGTTTCAGTTGGGTCTGGTCAGAGGAAATACTTCGTCTATTTCATTTGGGAGTTGAGTGGGTCTCCCATCCTGCCCAGGGACATTTTTCCAGGCTTCTAAAATGACTCGCTGTCTCTCCTCTGTAGTTAAAAGCGCCTGGAGGAGTTGTTGACAATCCTCCCAGGTGGGTTGATGGGTGAGGAGAATAGACTCTATTAAAGCAGTTAGAGCCTGAGGGTCCTGAGAAAAAGAGGGGTTATGAGTCTTCCAATTATACAAATCTGAGGCTGAGAAAGGCCAGTATTGGATCTGATCCCCTACAGTTCGGAGGGGAAAAACCTGGGCAGTCCAGGTTCCACCAGAAGGACCCCCTCTATCCCTTCTCAGCCAAAGTCTGCTAGATGAAGGGGAAGATTGGTCAGGTTTGGTGGAATCAGGAGAGGGATGAGGTAGTCCTTGGGGTGGAGGTAGTTCTTGTGGTGGGGGTGCCTGTGCAGGTGGATAGGGAGGTGGAGGATCAAGGAGAGTTAGAGAGGCTTGGTCCTTGGGGAGGACTGGCTTCTGCTTCTTCTGCACAGGGGAAGACTGGAGGGGCAGGAGGGAAGAAGTGAGATTCGGGGGACCTGAAGGGGTAAGGGACCCTTGCTCAGTCTCTCTGGTTCCTCGAGGAGGTAGAAATGGCCATGCCCAAGGTGTGGGGTTCCAGGCCAAGTCTTCCCAGGTGACTATATAGGCCACCTTGTCCGGGTGTCCATGTGGTCCTGGGTGGAAAATGTATTCCTTAACCTGTAAGATAGTAGCGAGGTCAAAAGTCCCATCCCTTGGCCATCCTTTTTCGAACGAGGGCCACACAGAGGAACAGAGATTCTGCCATTTCTTCTTCTGAACCTCCAGTGATAAGTTGTGGGCCCACTCCATGACCTCTCTCCAGTGTTCCAGAGTTAAGCTTAAAGGGGTAGTCAGTGATTGACTCATGGTAGAGGTCACAAGAGAAAGAGAGAGAGAGAGAGAGAGAGAGAGAGAGAGAGAAAGAGAGATAAAGATGCCACTCCAAACAATAGTTACCAGTGAGTGTGCTTGTGCACGAGTACCTATCGTTGCCCAGTTTTTCTTCTCTGGGGGACATGAATTTATCTGGGATTCACGTCTGGGACCCCCTTATCCTTCCACGGGAGTCTTTTAGCGGCGAGCGCCCTGTGGCTCTTATTTGCTTGACCCGTGCCCGCAGGGCTTTTTCAGTGGCTGAAGAGAGGAATGGAGAGGAGAAGGAAGTACAGAAAAGCCATCTTGTCTCCACCCGTGTGGGCAGTTGGGGTCCGCTAAGAGGGCTAAGAGCCTTTGGCTTACATCAGGGAGTGGCCCTGACCAGAACCTTAATTGCTCCTTCGCCTTTAATGGTCCCACACGAAGACTTGAGCAGAAAACAGAAGGAAAGATAAAAAGAGTATGGGGAAAGCTTAAAATAGAGAGAGTAGAAAAACCAGATCTTCCCCTTTTTAAAGTAATAATATAACCTTCAAACACATACACATCACACTAAATTACATTCATACGGACCGGTCCTTCTTTCACTCAGACGCACGCTGCACTCAGCATTTTCACTTTCAGGATCCTCAAGCACAAATACAGATAAACACAAAACAAAAATCCTTACCGCGCGCTTCTTAACCCAAAAACTGAAAGTACAGATCGGGAGGGGAGTAGCCAAGCCAATCTCCCTTCTCCCGAGGTGAGGAAAACTATGCTGTCTCCCTCACTTCAGATCACTCTGGCCACCAAGGTTAGAGTGACGGAACATGGGGTCTCTGGGCACATCTGCCACTCCTGCTGGTTCCCAGAATGCAGACTTACAGGTCCTGTACAGGCACAATTATTCAGACAGAACGTTCCCAGGACAGGAAATGACTGACAGACATTAAGACCAAGACAAACCACAAGACATCTGTTCTTACCTCCTGCTGATCTGAGGAAATGGGTCTTGGGGCGACCGAATCCCGGACGAGCCCCCAAGTGTTGGACCCGCAGACTGGGGTACCCAACATTCACGGGAGGCTGCACCCCAATAACTCAGTCCTCAAACCAGGAGATGCAACAAGCATGAGGATTTATTATGTCTGAAGATGGGCCTCCAGGAAGAGAAGCCCCGAATTCAGCTTACAAGCTTCTTTTAAAGACAAAAACCACAAGCGGTGGCTATGTGCCAAGCAGAAGTGAGGGGGGGATTTCTCAGGTGATTTCCAGCTTGGGCAGGGAGCATGAAAAGGTCAGCTCAGCTTGTTCTTAGCAGTTAGAATTATTTTTCATTTTTACTTCCTTGTACAGTTTTTCTCAGGCCTGGGGGATTTTAGTTTAAATCCATCATTTTGGAGGGACTTGGGTCCATCATTTGGGGGGACTTGGGTCCATCAAATTAAATAAATGACAATCTTGGTTGTTATTGCCAAAAAAGAAGCATGTAGTGGGGATCCTAAGACTCTGAATGAAAGGCTAAATGATGGTGGGGCCG